AACTTTGGCCATGCTGTTCTTTACCAGATTCCCCCCCCCCCCCCTTGTAATACCTATTGTGGCCCTGCCCTACCCCGAGTGTCATGATTTGAACAATTTAGAATTTACACTACTAAAGGATGCTTCCACATAAGTTTCAGCTTTTCTGGCCCAGTGGTTCTTGAGGAGAAGATTTTTAAAGTTTTTTCTTATATATTTCAATGTAAAACTTGGATTCCCTATTGTGGCCCCACCCTAACCCGGGGGTCATGATTTTAACAATTTAGAATCTACACTACCCGAAGATGCTTCCACATAAGTTTCAGCTTTTCTGACCCAGTGATTCTTGAGAAGAAGATTTTTAAAGATTTTTCTTATATATTTCAATGTAAAACTTGGACTCCCTATTGTGACCCCGCCCTACCTCTGGGGGTCACGATTTTAAAAATTTAGAATCTACACTACCCGAAGATGCTTCCACATAAGTTTCAGCTTTTTTGGCCAAGTGGTTCTTGAGAAGAAGATTTTTTAATGTCCCCACCCCATTTTTGTCTTTTCTTGATTATCTCCCCTTGTAAGGGGACTTGGCCCTTTATTTTTAACAATTTAAACTCCCCTTCACCAAAGGATACTTTGTACCAAGTTTAGTTAAAATTGGCCCAGTGGTTCTTGAGAAGAAGTTGAAAATGTGAAAAGTTCACAGAGAGACGGACGATTGACAATGGGTGATCAGAAAAGCTCACTTGAGCTTTCAGCTCAGGTAAGCTAAAAAGATGTGGGATTTTTTGATTTTTTTTTTTTTTCAAAACTAGCAACTTTTAATCAACAGTGCTTCAACACTGAGAGTAGGAAATCAAAATCATTTATTTCCTGCTTCTTTCTCTTTTCTCTTGCATTTTCTACATTTGGAATTCTGATGATACGTGAAATGAAACGACAGCATCCTTACAACCAGACATGTTAAACTTACAGAATCCGACACTTGTAGTGAAACGTCTGGTCAATTGCTTACATATCACAACTAATTTAAGAGTGTTTCAGCACTATAAATAGTGCTATGATTTCATTTAACATTGTCAAATTTATGAGTCTTTGGTAGGGGTGAAACGATACACCTCCTTCACGGTTCGATACGTATTGTATAATTTTGTCTCGGTTCGGTTATTTTCGATACGATACATTTTGATAGAAGGAAACAAATTCTACGTTGTTTTATGCTTTCTTTTTCTAAATTTAGTCACATATTTTACGAATTTTATTTGCAAATTGACTAGAAGAAATTGATTAAAATTATTTGACTGTCAAAAATTATTTTACAAGCTATCAGTCATCAAAAATTTACGTTTTCTATACTTATTTATTCTGAGTAACGTGTTATACCTTATGCCAAACCCGACTGAATAACGATCCCGACCGAAAAATGAACCGAACCGAAAATTAGAGATTTTGCACTGTGTATCAAACCGAGAAAAAATGCCGCGGTGCATCGATACCGCGGTGAACCGTTTCACTCCTAGTCTTTGGTTTACCCACACTAAATGAAATCAGCAATTTCTTGATGAATCTATCTGGAAACGTCCAAGTTTCTAGGTTGAGGGAGCCATTTTTGACAGCGTTATTGAGTTCTAGCATGGAGCAACCTTGAGAAACCATGTGCCATGGAAGTATTACAGTCATTCCCTTATAAATTTACACTGAAATCAAAGCCATCATGACCAAACTTAAACTTGACGCCTTAACCTGTTAACTCGATGGCCAAATTTGCGATTTTTAACTAGACCAATAGCCTGGATCAACTTGTTGTTTGTCGAATGGTTTACTGATGGAAGCATCTAAAATGTGGTCAAAATGCGGTCGGTGATTTTGTTTTGTTTTGTTTTTTTTTTTTGCAAGTGCATGAGAGAAATTGTATTTTATTCATTTGAGGATAAAAATGGGAAATGCTCATTGTTATATGAGATGTGGGCTTGCCTGAGAACCAAGTTATTATTTTTTTATGGCCTAACCAAGACATAATTATAGGTATTGAACCTCAAATCTTGCAATCCATCAATACAATTTCAGTGCACAAATGCACAAAATTATGATTATGCTGCATCTACCTTTTTTAAGGGAGAGGACTGAAATAGGCTATACCAGTTCCCCAATCCCACTCACTTTTGTGAATAAAATATATATTTTATTTTAAATAAATAAATCAAACCTTTTAAGTGTCATATTATGATCTTTATAAATAACTGGAAAAAAGATTTATCCTACATTTTGAATGAGCAATGAAAACAAAGTTTGTTTTTTTTCCTTTTCATTTCATCAGTGAGATTAAGGTACTATCATAATATTATTTCCTTTGGGCAAATGAACCTCAACTTTGACTTGCCAACCTGCAAAACTTGCTAGGTCAAAATTTAAACATAGGTAATCAGAGATTACAGAGCTCACCTCAACGAATGTTGTCTTTAAGTAAGGCAAAGTCCCACACTAAACAAATAATCTAGGAGTGTGCATCCCTAGATGCAACATTTACGCAATTTTGGTCTGATAGGGCTTGCAGTTACTTGGGAATAGATTTATCTGAAAACTTAAAACTAGTCACTCATCCAGAAAATGCAAGTCAAATCCAGCGTCCGAAGCAAGTTTTGAGATTGTTCGTCCCTTGATGTATCAACCATGCAAGTTTGGTTCAGATAAGCCTTATAGTTACTTGGAAATGAGATCTGCTTCAAAAACTTTAATCTGGTTACTCATCCGGAAAATGTAGGTCAGATCCAGCATCCGAAGCAAGTCAAGTAGTGTGAATCCTTAGATGTATCATCCATGCAAGTTTGGTCAATATAGGGCTTTTAGTTACTTGGAAATGGGATCTGCTACAAAAACCTTAACCTGGTCACTCATCTGGAAAATATAGGTCAGATCCAGTATCCGAAGCAAGTCCAGTAGTGTGCATCCTTAAATGTATCATCCATGCAAGTTTGGTCAATATAGGGCTTTTAGTTCCTTGGAAATGAGATCTGCTCCAAAAACCTTAACCTGGTCACTCATCCGGAAAATGTAGGTCAGATCCAGCATCCGAAGCAAGTCCAGTAGTGTGCATCCTTAGATGTATCATCCATGCAAGTTTAGTCAATATAGGGCATATAGTTACTTGGAAATGAGATCTGCTCCAAAAACTTTAACCTAGTCACTCATCCGGAAAATGTAGGTCAGATCCAGCATCCGAAGCAAGTCAAGTAGTGTACATCCTTAGATGTATCATCCATGCAAGTTTGGTTAATATAAGGTTTATAGATACTTGGAAATGACATCTACTCCAAAAACCTTAACCTGGTCACTCCTCCGGAAAATGTAGGTCAGATCCAGCATCCGAAGCAAGTTCAGTAGTGTGCTTCCTTAGATGTATCATCCATGCAAGTTTGGTCAATATAGGGCTTATAATTACTTGGAAATGAGACCTGCTCCAAAAACTTTAACCTGCTCCAAAAACTTTAACCTGCTCCAAAAACATTAACCTGGTCATTCTTTAGCTGAAATTGCAGCATCTGAAACCTTGACTGGTACAATGAAAAACACTAGAAGCATCCTCCATGCATCTCTGACTAATATAGGCCATAGAAGTACTTCAAAAGAAAACTGCTCCAAAAACTTTAACCTGGGACGCCGACGCCGAGGGTATTACATAAGCTCCCCCAACTTCGTTGAGATGAGCTAAAAAGCTGTTTTTACAAAGGATGATTCACATTGGCATTGAAAAATCCCATTTCCTTTTTTTTTATTCTAGTTGTTCAAAACTTGGTATGGTCCCTTGTTTCAATGTCAATTTCTCTCTCTCCCCCACCCCTCCCCCAATAAACAGAGATAATTAAGATGACTGCAAAGCCCTACTATTGCAGTGCATATTGTTCCATCCTAATTGCTCCATGGCAAAGCCCTACATGGTTGCTGTACATACGATAAATCATATTTCAATTATGTTCTGTTCTACTCTGTAAGCAAGAAAGTAGAGATGTAAACAATATATTCTTTAAAAAATTGTCAGAGTATACCTTTTATAGCTAGTGTGAAAGAGGTTATGATTACTGAAAGCTTATTCTGTAAGACTTATCCAGTAGGGTTTTCAAATGAAAAAAAAAATATCTAAAATGTTGAGATTGGAATTTTAAAATTTCTTTTTTTTATTCTTAAAAAAAATAATTAAGATAATTTGCAGCTTTTTATCAGAAATAGTCACTTGCCTGATCAAACAAGTATATAAATTAGGGATGACAATTTGTAACCGGTTTACCGGTTACTAGGTCGGAACAATGGTAATCTTTTAGAAAAACTGTAATCGGTTAGTCAGAAAAAATCAAAATTTGTGGAAATTTGAACGCAATATTAATTAAAGAGTCAAATAAAAATTTCTGAAATGTTAACATTTTCATCTATCTACTGATTTAAGTCGATTTGGAGATAATTTAAAGGCTCTCCAGATTGACATCGCAGGGTAATGGTCAGTTTTTCTGATTTGTTAATTGCTGTTTTAACACCATGTTGTTACCCAGTTTGGCTTTATCAGTAAGGCTGGAGAAGGTAATAAAAAAGTCAAAAAGGCTCAAGTAGTTAAACAAAAGATTTGCAAAAGGTTCAAACAACTTGCAGAAATTGGCTCTGCAGAGACACGTCCACCAACAAACGCAAAATGGTGAAATTGGTAAAATGTTCAAACAACACTATCTAATTTTTTACTTTCATTTCTTAAACATCAAATTAAGATGTAAGCAAAACCAGAATTCATTTCACCCCTCTAACATGTCTAAATTCTCTTTTATTATTGAGATACCAAAATTCAACTGTACACTTTTAAACATGTACTCAGTCTAACTCTGATAAAATCTAATGTGTTTGTTGCAAAATTATAACTAAAAAAAATAATAAATTATTGCCAAGAGAACTAAAACAGAGATAACCAAAGATTACATAGCTCACTTTAACAAAGTCTTACACTAAACAAATATTGTTTAAAGCAATATAAAGTACTAATATACCTGTTTGACTATTCTTGATGTATCAGAAGAGGGCCTTGTCCCATCAGACAACTTAGATTTACTTCTTCTTTTGGAAATAACTTTCTGTGAATGAAATACAAATACAAGATGTTCATCTTATTCTAAATGACTAATGACTATCAAAGGAAAATTCTGCAAAATAACATTCAACAATTTTCACCATGTTGATCAAAATTGTTTAAAGCTATATTTGGCGTATCTGAGCTAAAAAATAAAATACAAGTGTGACGCCACCGGAATTTACGGTGCCAGTCTCATTTATGCAGCGCTGAATACATCCGGTTTGTCAGTGAGTAGACATGGTAGACATTTTTTCCCGTGCGTCTGGGACGCAGTCCATCAACGTTTCCCCCCAAAACGTCTGGGACACTCCAATACTGGTTTTCATGGTGCAAAGGTGCAACGATGTATGTTTTTTCTTATATGTGAAATGTATGTTTTTGTAAAATTATTTTCTGATCATTATTTTCGAGAAAAACTTAATTAGGATTTTGGTGAAGTGTGTAAGATATTTGTATGAGAGTGAATACTGCTAAATTTTCTAAATTATTTAACTAAGTATTATTTATTGTTATTTCAGTTGTTACAGTCATATTTACTGCTACATAATAAAGAAGTAAAGCTGCAGGGCGTTTTTACTCCGATGACTACGAAACAATCCTGTGGCAGATCAATGAGATTGAGTGAAGATAAACATGATATATGTTATTTACGTTCAAATTAAAATTTTCACTGATTTTGAACTTGAATATATAACCTCATGTTTCCATAGTTAAATTGGTTTTAAACTGTGTCTGCTAATTAAATGTGGAGTCTGTAAATAAATTGGTTATTGTTTTAAATTTCTAATCTTTGAAATATGATTTATTTAAATTGTGTAATTTACAGGAAAGTCGTGTCTTTATATAAATTTAAGTAACAAAACAAATAGAATTTTTTTTTTTTAATTTTAGTTAGTCTGAACTTACAAAAAAAATATGCCATACATGACTTTAACACACAATGTTGCAGTTTAGTACTAAACTACTAAACAATGAAATCTCAATGGTCAGTCCAATTAAAATTAGCTGTGTTCTGAATCAAACGGTATTGTTGTTTACTCTGGCACTGGAAGAGTTACCTCCCCCAGTAAACATAATTTGCATACTTTTTTCCCTGTTTGTACCTTTCAACTCATTTATGTGCCTTGTGCAATTAGAACTTGTGAGAAAAATATCAAATATTGAGACCAACACCCTTTCGTACATTTGTGGTGGATAACGAAACAACCACAAGTCTGAATATTGACTATGTTGACCACAATAGGGGATTTTTGTGTACGAGTTGACTTTTTGTATACGAGTTGGTTTGTGTACGACTCGGTTTGTGTACGAAGTGACTGGACACCCAATAGGGTGTATGAGTCTTGGTTTATTAACAAGTGATTTGTCACTCAGAGATCTGTCATTAGTTATCGCAGTGAACTAAACAAATGTACAGTAACTGATTTAGTGCGTTGAACTTTCCAAATGTGCTACAGCACCAAGAATTTCATGATATAAATAAAATCTATCTTTCTAGATAGTACACACTGATATATACAGCAATGGATGCAACGTACACTTGTCAACATTTTGCTTGGAGTATACATACACACATTTAAGACAATTCGTCGAAGCAGCATTTCTTTTCTTTACCTTAATTACTGTGTTTGACATTTTACCTGTGAAAGCATGCTGTTTAATACTGAAAGGGGCAATGGTTTTCTTCATGCCACTGCCTTAAGCCTTCGTCCCAAAAATCAGCCATTGGATTCACTCCTTGTTTAGAAATATATGTTGGAATAAAATTGTAAGGTTACTACGTACAAGTCCGCAATCACTGGTTGCTTTTTTCCATCGAAAAACGACGCACAATACGAAAATACACAAATATCAGCTTCTGTCGAGACGGTATCCGCAAATGGGAACCGAACGGAATTGTGGGTCAGTTACGTCATATCAACATTGACGATGGTTTGCGAAATTTGGAATCCCATTATTATTTAAAACATTTATTCTCTTTTCCCCACTAGAGAAATTTGAACAAATATACAGTTTAAAATTTTATGCATATATGCTTTCAAATCCGATATGTTTTGTCAATATTTTTTTTTTTGGAAAAGTAGCTGGATTAAACCCTGAATAGTACACCGAATTTGATTGGATAGTCTTCCGATTTCCGCAGCAGAGATTGGGGGGGGGGGGCAGAACTTGAAAATGGATTTTCTAGTTAATATCATGGACCAAAAGCATTGCTTCAGGTCTGTGTTAATATAAACCTAATAACAATATCGATGACAGTGAACTAATTTATGTAAATTATTCAGTTATTTCTGAAATATTTAAGAATGATTAAAATTCATTTGTTTACCCAGGGACCTATATACTTAGTATATAGGTCCCTGGTTTACCCAGAAAAAAAAAATAAAAATTAGTATACAGTTCCCTGGTGCCATGTTATAAATTAGTTTAAATAAATAGCACTACTCCGCAAATGGACTGGATTTTTCTCTCTTCTTTGAAATTATTATTATAATAAAATTAATGATAATTTTGTTGATACAATTTTACAAAAATAAAAAAAGTGCAATGTAATTGACTGGTACCCCCTTTTTTTAATTTGCAATCATTGAGAGTTTATTTCTTTTACTTGTCTTTCAGTATGAATATTTACACATCGTTCTTTGAAAACTGTGCAGTCTGTTAGTATTGGTAAGATAAGAGTTGTGTTCTTTCAGGTACACTATATTGATACTAGTATAATTGACGTACATCTATTGATGTATTTTTAATAAAAACGAAGGAAAATGTAAACTCTTCATTCCCAATGTAATATGTGAGACCACAACTGGATTTTTCTATGATGCATTTGTTAACTTGGATATATTTGTTTTATATAGTTCATACTGAACAGATTGTAAAGATGCTATTTATACAATATAATACTATGTAGTATATAAATTTGTTTGATATAAAATTGTCCTAAAAACCATTATATTATCTACAGAATTTTTCAAAATCTAGAAAAATATCCACGCATTTGATAAAATTATCTAATCAATAAGTAAAATTTACATAATTTTCTTTTTTTTTCCACTTTGGGTAAATATGCAATGTTTATTATAAATAAATGAAAATTTATAATTAATCAAATTCACACGCATGAAGCTTTGAACTAGAGGATCACAGATTGATATTCCATGGGATAATTCTACCTGTTTTTTCTTCTTTTTTTTAAGGGTGGATGGGGGTGGGATAGGGTGATTTCAAATAGGCAGTACTACACATAAATAATATCAATAATTTCCTTTTCACTTGGTCTGTTTGCACATTAGACATGAAACAACTTTAATACTGGAGAAGATGGTCCTTTAAGTGAATTACATTCACTTAAAGAGCCATCTTTAAAAAAAAAAATGTTTGCTTGCCTTCTCCCGACCGACTGATTTAAAATGGCCGGATTCAAAAACTTTTTTTTTGACCTCCAGGAAAAGATATTTTTTCTCTTCTATGGAATTCCATATACGTCAGCCAACTGCTTACTACCAACTGCTCACTGCTTACTGCCAACTGCTCACGGCTTACTGCCAACTGCCACACATATTTGAATAAATTTTCATGATTGATATTTATGTGAATTTTCATAAAACCAGGCGCGGATCCAGGATTTTTTTTACAGGAGGGGTCCACCCGAGTAAAAAAAATCCAACCCAGAAATTAAAAACAAAAACGTAAACTCCTTTCCTAAACGTAAAAAACCTATTTCGGCGGGGGGGGGGGGGGGGGGTTGACATCTTATGCTTCATATCTATAACTTTTCATATCAACTTAACACGGATCCACGTTTTCTAGGGGGGGGGGTCCAAGGTCACCGTGGCTTTTAGTTGGTTTAGTATATACATTAAATAACTCTACAAATTCCAGAGGGTGGTCTGGACACCCATCCACCCCCTCCCACCGACCCCCCTCTAGATCCGTGTATGTAAAATATAACTTATTTGGGAAAATAAAGAGATATAGATCTTTAATTTGAGAAAATATTTCACTATAGAAATTAAAGGAAAATGGAAATTTATTTTCAAAACATCTTCCCCCGAGAAACAAGAGATCCTTTTTTTTCAGTTTTTAATCATTCCAAAGGTTTTGTTGTCTCAAGGGGATGGGGGGGGGGGGGGCACGTGTTTCTGAAGATTAAAAACAGGAAAATAGTCATTTTATTACCAATTTCAAATGAGATAACAAATAAAAAATGTACTTTATCACTTTATCAATCTCATATGTTAAATTTTACATAAGTAAAAACATACGGTGAGATTTAACAGTCATTTATCCATTTTCATTTTCATGAGTATTTGAAAATGGTAATGTTTTCAGCCTGATTTCAATTGATAAAATTTTCTACCCCCTTATGAAAGGAATTGTAAATAAAAGTAATTAATTTTTTGTCACTGGTTTTTAAAATTAGTACAAATGAACTTTTCTTTGCTTTCAAACAAGTTTTTATGTCCAAATTGCCGTTTATATTGAATTAAATGGATGGAAAATTTAGGCGGGAATCGAGAGTTAGTGTGCGTAGTTCTTACAATAATAACAAAATTTGGCGGATTTTAAAATATCGAATAATATCTTTCGGATGTTCTTTTTACCCTAGGAAAAGTACCTATGTGTGGGAATTTTTATATGTGTCTTATGTAAATCGTTTTAATGGGTAATGTTCGATCTGTTAGATCTGTAAAAAACATTCGTGGTGGTGGTGGTTGGGGGGGGGGGGGGGGCGTAACCACTAAATTTCCAACATATACTATATACAGTAGTTCTCCCTTACGGAAGCGTATTAGTGCCAAGTACTGTTTTTTTTTTTTTTAAAGTTGGTAATTCCAACTTTAAAATTGGAAATTCCAACTTTAAAGTTAAAAATTCCAACTTTGAAGTTGGCTTTTCCAACTTTAAAGTTGGTAATTCCAACTTTTATCTTGGCTTTTCCAACTTTAAAGTTGGCTTTTCCAACTTAAAAAAACATTACGTGGCACTAATACGCTCCCGTAAGGGAGAACTACTGTATATAGTATATATAGTAAATGTTACTCAAGATCCTTTTAAAAGTTTGTTCTTTTGTCGTATGTGACCCCCTCCCCCCCCCCCCCTTACACGCATTAAAAAAGCTATCAAATTATTTGCCTGCAACGAAATGCAGAAATTATAATGGTTTGTTTTTTTAAGGAGGAAACACTCCTTCTTCCGATTTACTCCTTCCTCGCCTTTACAGTTTAAAAATTCCTAAATCCGCCAAATTTTGTTATTGTTGTAAGAACTACGCACACTAACTCTCGATTCTTGCCTACATTTTCCATCCATTTAATTCAATATAAATGGCAATTTGGACATAAAAACTTGTTTGAATGCAAAGAAAAATGTTCATTAGTATTAAGTACTAATTTTAAAAACCAGTGACAAAAAGTTAATTACTCTTATTTACAATTCCTTTCATAAGGGGGTAGAAAATTTTATCAATTGAAATCAGGCTGAAAACATCACTATTTTCAAATACTCATGAAAATGAAAATGGATAAATGACTGTTAAATCTCACCGTATATATGTTTTAACTTATGTAAAATTTAACATAAGAGATTGATAAAGTGATAAAGTACATTTTTTTATTTGTGATCGCATTTGAAATTGGTAATAAAATGACTATTTTCCTGTTTTTAATCTTCAGAAACACGTGCCCCTCCCCCCCCCCCACCCCATCCCCTTGAGACAACAAAACCTTTGGAATGAATAAAAACTGAAAAAAAGGATCTGTTGTTTCGCGGAAGAAGATGTTTTGAAAATAAATTTCCATTTTCCGTTAATATCTATAGTGAAATATTTTTTTCAAATTAAAGATTTATATCTTACGAAAGCCCATTGAGCTCATTTTCGTAGATAAAAAAAATATTTTTCGCGTTATATCGCGAATAAACGCGTAACTTTCGCGTTATAACGCGAAACTTTCGCGAATAAACGCGAAACTTTCGCGTTATAACGCTAAACTTTCCCTGTAAAACAGAGACATTTGCATAAGTCTACAGTTTGTTTTACTTTTTAATGATCTAGTTTATTCATTACAGCGAAAAACAAAATCTTATTTTGAATCTGGATTATCACGAGCTAAAATTTTATGTTTTCTCGCCAATTAATGTGTCTTTCCTCTTTCTAAATCTTTTTTGCCGTCACATTTTGTCTTTCTCAATGCTGTTCAATACAAGTGTTGAAGCGTATAGTAGAGGAGCGAAAATACAAGTCTAACTTTAATTAGATTGAACACTCTATATAGAATTTGAAATAAAAGATCTCAGAAAATTGACAACAATGAGGTAAATTTGTATTTCACGGAACAATTGTGTCACATCACATGAGTAACCTAATGTGAAAATTGGATGACAAATATTCGTATCAAATATTTCATCTCCGATAGACTCACTGAAGAAATACAGCATTGTATTTTAAGGTTGCACCATTTGGTCATACCATTTCTTACGAAAACATTGACAATTTATTCAAAGAAAGCAACGAGTGGAGATCTTCCTGAGAAAAAAAATTAGTCTACAGAATTTCTTGGATTCAACAAGTGAAAAACAAGAAAATCTTTAAAGAAATATTCATATAATTAATTAGTAGGGTTTTGAGATTAAATGCAAAATCAACATTAATCTATCCATTTCTCGTATCAATTCTCTTTTACATCTTCTGAAGAAATGTCATTTATAAATTCATAGAAGTCCCCCTCTGCGTTCATGTTTTTTATCTGTCAGTCAAGATCACAGGTTCCTGAGTAACATGACTATATACGTATAATTTCGTGTTATAACGCGAAAGTTTCGCGTTTATTCGCGAAAGTTACGCGTTTATTCGCGAAAGTTACGCGTTATAACGCGAAAGTTACGCGTTTATTCGCGA